TTTATAATCTTTCATCAACATCTGCGAAAAAACTTTTTTCCAGCTAACATCACCAAGCCCTCTTATTTTTCAGACCCCCCCTCCTTTGTCATGCACTGCAAAAATAATTTTCTTCAGTATTTTATTTCAGTACTTTTGCCTTTTTTTTAATAATCAAACTGTCAAGAAACATCTATTTGACTAAATTAAGATACGTTATTAAGATTTATAGTCAGAGAACGTATTTTAAGTTTAAGTATCACACCCAAATGTTGGCATTTTTTGTTGGCAAATTTTTTTTATTTTCTTTTTTCTTGTTTTTCTATTGTTTATCCTTTTTATTATTTAATAATGCTATTGAGACACTACTATACAATAGTGACTGACAATATGGGTAACTGTATGCAATTTTCTTCATCATCATCATCATTAAAAAATTGCTAATGAGGAAAGACCAATAAACTAAGAAAAACTTCAGATTACGGAAATCAAATATGTTATTATGAACACTATTTCATGTTAACTTGTGTTAGTCTAATAGGACAACTGTTAAATATTGAGTATTGATCCATTTAATTTCAAGTAATATTGGGCATAGCCAGTTGATATCAATGCTGATGGACATCTCCTTCTATCTTCTTCCAGAATGCAAATAAATTTGATGCAGATGTGGTTCTAAATCAACTGCGTTACTCTGGAATGCTAGAGACAGTGAAGATCCGTAGAGCAGGCTTTTCTGTACGGAGAACCTTCCAAGACTTCCTCAGCAGGTGAGATACATAGCAAAGAAACCATCACAAAACCACTGACAGTCCATCAAAATACAGTTTGAAGCACAAAATCTGTTCCAGATGCACACAGTCAATTCCTGACAGTTTTTGGAAAGGAAATATAAAGTTAATGTCCTTGAAATCATAATGAACAATGCCAGGGAAGTTTTTCCGATTCTATCAGTACATTGTTCTCTTAAAATGAGTGAGGTGGAACGTGTGTATGTGTTCAAGCTGTGCCCACTTCCTGTGCAGATACACAATGATCCTGCGGGACAAAAACCACATGGCAGACGAGAGGAAGAAATGTGCAGATCTGCTTACGAAGTATGACGTCACAAAGAAAGAGTGGCAGCTGGGAAAGACTAAGGTGCGGTTGCATGACCAACACGTTCACACACAGTTTAACGTTCCAGTATAAATAATCTGTGCTAGGCCTCAGTGCAAGAGTGCAGATACTTCATACAAGTGCTCTTTTTCTCTCAGATTGAACTACTTGACCTTTATGTAGTCTGTGGGTGTGTCCCTGACATTCATACTTTACAGTGTTCAAAGAGTCATTTGAATTTAAATATGAAATGCAAAAAATAAGGGAAAAAAGATACAGACTGGCTGTGTTCAATTATCATGGCATTTACAGTTTGCGAACCCTTTGAAAATATCCAGATTTCTGCATTGCTTACTCATAATATGTTATCTGATTTTAATTAAAGTCACAGTTATAGACAACCCAGCCCTGGATAGAGTAGCAACAGTCCTGAATGTTCTACATTTGTAAAATCTCACCATGGATTGATGAACATCCAAGTCTTTAGCAATGTTTTTGTAGCTTTTTCCAGCTTTGTGCATATCTGCAATGCACTGATAAAGTCCTGTGAAAGCTTTTGGGACTGAGGTATGGTTCACACAAACCAGTTATTCTTGAGAATAATATA